TGAGTGAGTGTATGTGTATATGAGTGGGTAAATAGATGGGTAAATGGATACATGCATGGTGGGATGGGTGGATATGTGTGTTAGGGGTCAATGGATTGATGGGTGCATGCATATGTATGTGTGTGTGAGTGGGTGGGTGGATGTATATATGGATGGATGGATGGGTGAGTGTATATATGTATGCATGCATGTATGTATGTATGTATGTATGCATGTATGAATGGATGGATGGGTGGATTGATGGATAGATGGGTGAGTGTATGTATATGTGAGTGGGTGGATGGATGGAGGGATGGACAGGTAGATGACTGCATAGTTTTTCTAGTCACTCCACATGGTGCTTTAGATAGGAAATTGTGGTTTTTACTTCATCTGTTTGCTTTTGTAATCTTACAGTATTCTCAGTCATGAAATATCCCATAACAAAATCAATATAAATCACTTAGATTTCTTCATCATAGCTTATAAGTTAAAGCAGACAGTTCTGGCAAGACAGTACTGATAAAAGTGTCAGCTGATGGTAAGCTAAATCATACTGATTCAATATGAATCATTAAAAAGAAACCAGTCAGTTTGGAAAAATAAATTGTGTGGTATTCCTGAAAGATGTTCATTGAACAGAGCCTGATGAGCAAAGATTGTATATCATCCTTTTCAGAATAATACATCCTCTGGAATTCCATCAAGATTTCCAAAGGGAGCTAAGCGTGCTTGGGGGTTCAGTATTTTGCTTGAAACTGGCCCTCCTTCATTACCCAACCAGAGTGTCTTAGACGTGCCACTCAGCTAAGCTCCTCATTTGACTGTTTCAAACACACCTTTTAAAGCAGCGTATTCATTTTCTTGGCATTAGTGTTGGTGGCAGTCAATGACAGCACTGGCTTTTAACTGTCCATCTCTCTTGAACGAGATGAAATTATTAAGATCCATGAGGAACGATGTCTTTTCTGTTTTGTTCCTTCCTGTATTCTGAGCTTCAAATCCATCTGTGGAAGGTGATGTGGGGTTGGTGAATACTTAAAACACTCAAAGTTCATCTTGATAATCTTTTTTTTACTTTTGATAGGGCTCCATTGTGCATTTTTTGGTTATTATTGAGTTATTTAAGATGCATGTTATGTAGCCGTTCAAATGACGGTGGGGTATCTAATTCACAACAGCGTGAACTCATCCCCACTGTTCATACCTACATTTCATCCTCCCAAGAAGTTCTGTGCGGTCAGTCCACACCCATGTTCTGCAGAGGACTGAAAATGTCTCTATTCTTTCTGTCTTTACCTGATCACTATAGGAGTCTCATATTGTATAGACTCATTTTGGAATCTTCTTTATGTAATTTGTAAAACATACTTGAGACCTTATGTAGTTATTTGATAATACACTTAATATTCAACTAAGAAAGCATGAGGAGTTTGTTATTGTCTACACTTACATAAGGAGGTCGCTGTTTACGTAAGACAAATGCTCACAAGAAAAAGTTGCTTTTTAAAGACATCATGAGCTACTGTGGTTAAGATAAACAGATGAGCGTGGTAGAATCTGGGCTCTGGTATACTTTAAACCTTAGTGTAGCATAAAGGAGTAATTTCAGATTATTGGAGAATGATTGATAACAATTGGTGAACAACACATATCTAGCATCACTGTTTGTCATCTCTGACACACAAATCAAGAACCATGCTATGAAGTATTAGAAACTGAGATACATACATACACATTTAAATGTATACACAGATGCACACGATCATCTTTGTTTAACTACAGTAATGTTTTGAGAAATGGTTAGGTAATTTTTGTTATAATTGTTATTGTGTGACCATCATAGAATGTTCTAATACAGGACTAGATAGTGTACAACTGAAGTATGTGGCGTGTCTTATTGATGCTAGACTAAATATCTGTTACAGCATGTTGCCTTGCTGAGCGCTGCAGATGACTATAACACAGGATTTGTGTATCTGAGTATAAACACATATACTTATGTATAACTCAGAAAATACAGCAAAACTAGAATACAAAAGGTAATAAATGATTCAACTCTGTGGAACTTTTATGATGACTGGAACTCTCCAGACTGAAGTCTGCTCCACGTGGGTCAGTTATGTACAGAGCACGTGGAGCTGATGGCGTGTGTGTGATAGTCCACTCCACTACTGTGGGCTTCACAGTACTCTGCATGTAGTTTCCATTCTTCAAATGCATGCGAGTACATGGCCGCTGTCCTCAGCCACACCAGAAGAGGGCATCAGATCCCATTACAGATGGTTGTCAGTCATCTTGTGGTTGCTGGAAATTGAACTCAGGACCTCTGGATGAGCAGTCAGTGCTCTTAACCTCTTAACCACTGAGCCATCTCTCCAGCCCCCAGCTTAAAGCTTTTATACTCAACATTTTTTAAACATTTAGACTCTTGTAATAATACTTAAGATGTAAGACATAGCCTTATGTTAAAAAGCTTTTTCCTGGTAGTTTAGTTTAGTTTAGTTTAGTTTAGTTTAGTTTAGCTTTTAGTTAAGTTTAGTTTAGTTTTGTTGGTGATAGAAGGCTCATGTATACTGGGATGGCATTGACATCAGTAGCCTAGAATGACTTGGAGCTACTGATCCTCCTGCCTCCATCTCCCACTGCTGGGATTACAGGCATGCGCACAGTGTCTGAGTTCTGCAGTGCTGAGGACTGAACACTAGATTTTGTGCAATCCAGGTATCCTCAGCTACTCCTCAGCTTTTGTCTATTCAGTTTATTTGAAAACATTTGCAGGGCCATGGGTTGGAGGACATGTGCTAATCCCAGCACTCAGGAGGCAGAAACAGGTGGATCTCTGTGAGTTCCAGGCCAGCCAGGGCTATGCGTAGAGAATCTGTCTCACAAAGCAAACCATAAGCATTTGTGGTGTGTGTGTGTGTGTGTGTGTGTGTACATACATGTATACATGCTTATGGAAGCCAGCATTGTTCCTCAGTGAGAACTACTTGTTTTTTTGGAGACATCATTATTTCTCTCTGGCCTGTAGCTCACCAAGTAGACTAGACCAACCAGACAGTTAACTTCAGAAATCAGCCTTTCCCTACCCCCTAGTGAAGGAATTGCAATTTTGGGCCACTACACTCATCTTTTCTTATATGGGTTCTGGGAATCATTTTCTTGGCTCTAAAAATCATTTACTCTTTTCAAATGTTTCAGTTACAAACTAAACATGAACGTTAACACTGCACTACACAGAATCAGGGCCATCAATATGGCTGTCTGCAGTACCACATCCTGTCCCACTGGAAGGTCATCGGGGCCATAACACTCAGGGAGCCATCACCTCCTATGATCACAATGGAATATTTCTGTCCTAATTACAGGTTCTGCTGTTTGTGTTGAAATACAACCAAAAGTAACTCAAAAGGAACGGGTTTATTTCATTTTATATTTTTAGGTAATAGTCCATCAATGAGAAGAATTGGGGCAGGAGTTCAGGCAGGGCCAAAACTGATGGAAGGCCATGGAAAAGTTTTGCCTACCGGTTTGTTTCTCAAGCCTTGCTCAGCCTGCTTTCTTGTATATCTCCAGACCACCTTTGCAAAGTGTCGCATGGGCCGGGCCCTCCCTCCTCAATCACTAAGATAATGCATCACAGGCTTGCCTACAAGCTGGTCTGGTGGTGTCATTTTCTCAAGTGAATCTCCATCTTCCCAAATGACTCTATCTTGTGGCAAGTTTATATAAACCTAGCCAGCACAATTTTCTAAAGTTCTGCATGGATAGATACACACACAGGACTGGGGAAGAGAGGGAAAGGGGAGGGTTTAAAGTAACCATTGAAAGTTACTATAGTAAATAAACTAATAACATAGTCATTACTATCATTGTTGAGTATTCTTTACTTTAATATATGTGCAGTGTTTTATGAAACTGGCAGCACAGTTGGTTTGTGTGCAGCAGTGTCATCACAAGCACATGTGTGACAGATACATTGTGCTATGACATTACAGCTACTACGACATTGTCAGGTAATAGGAATGTTTAACCTGTATAATAAGTGGACAAGACCACCATTGTATACATGTGTAAAATCCATTTTTAACCAAATCATCATTATTCATACCTGACTCTGTGTGTCTATGGGACAACTTGACTTACACTTAAAAGCATCTGAACTGATAAAGAACAGGCGCCCACAATGACAACTGGTATCAGCTAGCACATGAAATGTGTGGAGCAGTGCTTGAGCAAGTATATGAAAGGCTGGTAACAGCTAGTCCTGAAAGGCATACATGAGAGGACGTGCTCTTCATCATTGAGTGGAAAATGACAAGTAGCTCTTTGGCTTCTGTGAAAATATAAGTCACAAGCCCCACACGCCAAGCAACCTTATACAATGGGTCTAACAATTAAAACGTCCTTATAAGGAGATAGGTGCTCTGGTGGACCCACTGAAGCATCATGGGTACCTGCCTTTGAGCATGTGTTAGCACCATGTATCGTAAGATAGGAGACTCAACATTACTACATTTGGTCAAAAGATACTCTTATATAACACAAGTTTCCCTTGACCAGTGTCCTGATATTCGTCTACAGACACATACAGTTCTGAGAATTCTGAGAATATATTTGTGTTTATTTATTATTCATTTAATAAATAGTAAACAAACTAGATTATGAAAGAAATCACTCTCATCCAGATAGCAGTATTTCGTTGTTTTCAATGTTATGTTCTTCCTGTTTCACCATTTATTAACTGCTTAATCTGAAGAGTATGGTCCTTCTATGCCTATATCTAACTATGGTCGAGTCAAACAATATCTTGTGAAAAGCTGTGTGGTGGTGCCTGGCTGTAATCCCTACACTTGGGAAACACAAAGAAGATTGCTGTAAGGTTGTGAACAGTCCCGGGGGGCTGCATAGTAAGACTGTCTTTTTAAAAAAAGTTATTTTCTCCAATAGGCTTGTGAGATATATATAGACAGATAGATACTTAGATTGCTAATCATTTTTCTTTCTTTTTATTTCAGAACGCTTTACCGTGTACAGCTCTAAAAGCCTTAGACAAGCATGGACTAAGTAAGTCTTTACACAGATACCCCTCCCTCCCTCCATCTCTCCCTCCCTTCGCACGCCCTCCCTCCCGCGCCCCCCCCCTCTCTCTCTCTCTCTCTCTCTCTCTCGTTCCAACTAGCCAAGTGAGTTTTTCACAGCATGGTTTCATTCACTGCTGCTGCTACTCATCCATCTATTAAGCCCTTACTGCATACCATCTACCATGTTTAGACAAAGCCAGCAGCCAGTTCAGGTTCTTAGAGGAATGTAGCACTATGTGAGAATTATAAATTCTAGAATCTACAGCGGCCCATCTTGTAACCAAACTCTGTGAAATATTTTAGTATTGGCAGACTAACACTTACAGAGTACACCATAGTAACTGACTTTCTAACAAATGGCATTGACTAGTCTTACTGTGTGATTAAAAATGGGTATTTCTTTTTACCTACTTCTCTCCCTAAACCTTCCTGGCGAGTGAAGCACATTTATCACTTGAAGTCTAAATACTCCCCGCCCCCATTTCTTTCATTTCTTCTGATCTTATAAAAATAGTTTTATTTAATGTATAAAGGTTTTGAACAATGGTTAAAAAGGTTGCCACAATGTCATGACAACCTTGATTTCATCCCCAGAACCCATATAAAGGTAGAAGGAGAGATAATTGACTCCACAAAGTGTCCACACATGCCCACAGACATGATAAAAACAAATGTATAAAATATATTTATTGGTTTGAAACTTGAAAGAATAGGAAAATTTGGGCTTTGCAAGTCTCCTAGGAGTCTTTTATTGCCGTCCAGCCTGTGAGTGGTACACTAGACACTGGAGATCAGGGTGAGCCATCGCTTTAGCTTTGACATTACATTGCAAACACCGCACTGGAGGCAACTTAACTGCAAACCCTTCGATTAAGTAAAGTCTCACTCATTCTCACATGTTCTCTGTAGAGATTCTGCTAACAATCTTACTATGTACTATTATTGTGATGTTTTACTTTTTGGCATTGGCAATAAAAAAATAAGAAACATTTTGTACAAGAATGCTTTTGATCAATACTGTCAGCAGAGATGGTCTTCAGCTGATAGTGAGAAACTCTTAAGATGACTATTTTATATTCTGTAGTCATTTGAAGGATTTAACCATTTTAAAAAAATTAATCATGTCTTTAGAAGAATGACTGGTATGCTCATTTTTCTCTACTACAAAGCTTTTTAAAAAATAATGCATGTAGTTCATTTTAATTATTAGGATATGTTCACTGTACAAAGTGATGAATTTCACAATACTTTTCTCGTTTACCCTCTTCATTTTTCATGGCTAATTAAAGCTCCATTGTATTTGCATACCACCTTTTCTTATCTCTCCACATGTTGATGGACACCAAAGTCAGTTTAGGTTGGCTGTGATGAACTGGGCCATGCTAATCTCAGCTGAGTGAATGTCTCCACCGTGGGCTGATGTAGATTCTGTGTGTTTTCCCGAGGGCAGTATAGCTGGATCTTACGCTAGTTGTTTTCACCATGTAAAGGGTCTGTTCCCTGGGAGGCATGCCCTCTGTTCTGTATTAGTCCTGTTGCAGAAAGAAGGGAAGATGAGTGGACTGGAAACCATCAAACTAAACAAAGTATATTAAAATCAGAAAGATAAATATGACATGTTTTCTGTTATATACAGAATCTAGATTTTACACACACATGTGCACACACACACACACACGAGCATGTAAATTACAGGGAAGTAGCACAGTGTGACTTTTCAGGAAGAAGAAAGGACTGCTGTCTGGGTAAAACAGGAAAGAATAATGTAGCTGTATAGGGTAAAATAATGATGCATTTTAATGAAAGTATAAATCCATGTTGTAAAATGCATATATGTCAATAACAACCATTTCTTACCTTGTAGAAGTTTTTTTTTAATTTGTAGAGGTTAATAAACTAAAGCAATTGCTAAATTCTCTTGTATTGCAGTAATGGATTCAAAATAATTTCCAAGAATTCAGCTTATTTGGATTATATGTGATGATGGGCTAACCCCCCACATAGGTTGTCCTTAACTACGGTACAAAGTCAAGTAACAATACTTTGAAAGTTCAAGCTCAAAGTAGCATTATCTAAGTTGTGGAAGCTACTGGGGGGGGCGCTGTTAGCTGGCCAAAGAGCATGGGGATTTAGTGAGCTAGGGAACCTTCAATCTAAAGAGCTCTCAAGTAATCCAGTCCACTTGGGAACCACATCTGCCCTAGCTCACACCAGAAGAAAAACTCAGCTGATTTTACTTATATCAGTAACCATAAGCGTAATTTTACCTTCTGATATATTTTTTAATATTCTATAATAACAGAGCAGTGGTAGAAGAAGATATAAAAAGACGTAGTAAATACCCAAACTGAAAAGCCTAATATAAAGAAAAATATTATCCATTTAAGAATAATGATTACCGTTAAAGAAAAGTAAGCCTCTGTTTCCCTCATACTAAACGTGCACGATCCAGGAAGCTTTTCCTGCATCAAGGGGATTTGGGGCTAAATGGAGATAAATCTGAACTTCATAAAAATATGTCCTATGCTTTAACAGTTCCAAATAGTCCATTTTATTTCACTGGAATTATGAAGACTCACACTATTTCTCTTGCAAATCTCTCTATTTATAGTTGTCTGACACTAGAACGTATGTGCAATCCACCAAGAATTTCAGCCACTTAAAAGATCTTTTATTATTTTGGCTGGGGAAGAAGCCCTAGTGTACATTCTCCAGCAAACTGAAGGGTGAGATTCCAAGAACACATTTGATTGCTTTGGAACTTTTTAACAGCTGAACAAGTTGGGAGGTTTGAAAGTTTTGAAATGAGAACTAAGGATAAACCACTAAGTCAAAGAAGACACATCTGGAAAATACAGCTCATGGATGGGAAAGCCAGGCCCACGCACACTGAGTGGGGTCAGGCTAGGCTCGTCTCCACCCTTCCCCTAAAGTGCTGGCCCTGCAAGTCATCCACGTGCTCATTAAGCACAACTGGATTTTTCCAAAGAGTGTGTATAATTGGTATTTGTAAGTGTGCAGTAAATACCGAGGCCATTAGGAGGCTGCCTTTGGGCATGAAACAATAGAAAAGGAAACTCTTCCCTGCTGTGTTTCTATACCCTGCTGTGTTTCTATATCCTAGCAGAGCCATAGTCCTGATTTGGAAATTTTAGAAACAGCCCAATTTTGTGGTTCTGAGCTTTCCTTGAATATTTTACCCAACTTGATATTTAGCCTTCAGAACTCATTTTAAAGATGACCTGCTAGATGGTTGCACCGTGCGTGCATAAAGTACGATGTAGGAAGTAATGTTTGGAGGATCAGTTTTTCCCTTTGTATATTTGTGGTAGAGGTACTCTACTGTTTTTCTTGCCATGGTATCTGACGTGGATCATTAAGATTTAAATCAGCACCTTCTCACGAAACAGGAACATCATCTTTTTCACTCTGCCACATTCGAAGTTGATTTAGGATTACCTAACAAAGCAATACACTATGGAGTAAGTATGTTAACGATGGACATTTCCTGGCTATCATAGCAATATGGTGAAGGTAAGAACACAGTCAATACACTAGGGGGAGCAGTTGAGTCAGCTAGCTCTTAAAGTCACCCACTTGCACATTTTGTTCACTGTTGATGACTTTTGTCATGATTCTATTTACTTCAAAGTAGTGGTTTTAATTTATTTAGTGCCTGGAGATTCCCTTCATAATATTTTCAAGAAAATTATTCTCTGCATCATTGATTGGCTTTGGGGAGGAGTATGGGGTGATCAGCTCTAAAGCCGACATTTTGGAATCATATCCTCTCATAATTTGAGGATGGCTGCGATTACCAGCTGTCTATTTCTGCAGATTCCAGTGCAGCAATAAAAGGATGTGTGGAGTCTAGTTCCTCACTACATTCTGTCCCCTTGAAAATGTCATTATCTACACGTGATCAAATAGCTCTTATGTTTGGTCTGTTATGGTTTCAAGGCCCAAGAGCTCCCCCTGCTTGCACAAACACTGGCTAGAGCAGCCCCTGGGGACATTTGTTTTCATAACAATTAACATTAGTTCGACTCCTCAAAGCATTGTGTGGGTATGCATTAGGCAGATCCTAGGCAGATCCGGTAAACCCCTTGACACCTAGGAGTTTACAGACCGGGAGTCCTGAGAAGAAAGGAGAGAGGGTCAAAAGTAAGAGGTGTTGTGTGGGTCCTGGAAGGTGTCGTAGAACCTCTAAATCCAGGTAGAATGGTGTGTGTGAAAACACACAGTTGGGGCATGTTCCAGGACAAAGAGAAATAGCTGGAGGGTTTTCCGATTTCTGATCAATACTAGCAATATGAAAACAGGGTGAGAGGCGAATGATCAATGCAATTGAAAAATGACAGCTTGGGAAGTATTCCCCTGGGAGTCTCGTGACAGGACTCCAGTTGTTGTGTACTTAGAAGAAACCAGGTGTTTATTTGTTCTTAGCACGTCTTTGGGTAGAGAGATCTCTTCCAAATCTGACATCCTTCTCAGTCTGGGCTCTCACGCAGCAGAAAGAGCAGGACTGAGTGGAAACCTGACTGTAATCCTCGTGGAAAAAGAATGTGTTTTCAGGTGTCTGAACCCAGTCCTCCAGCTCAAGCCTTCTTTGCAGCATTACTGGTAGTGCCCTGCTGTGGGAGGAAGGTTGGATTCACAACTAAGTAGAGGAGACAGCGCTGCCAGTCACCCACTCACTTCCTGAATGTCAAACTCTTCACCTCCTCCACAAGCTCTCACTGCCCTGAGGGATTTAACCCCTGTTATTTTATTTTGTGTCATAGCCAGATTTCTTGTCCCTTTTTTAGGGTAGCAAAAATCCATTGTCATTAACAGTTCCTGGTGGTGACTGAGGGCAGGCCCCATGCTGTTGGCTGTATGTCAGGTGACAGGTTTTATTCTTCTGATGGACAGGAAATAGCCATCTTCTCTCTTGCTAATTGGCAGTATGTGCCAGGCTTGGAAGTTGGCAACAGTCACTGT